ATCCTATGTACTGGTGTCCGAGCTGTCGGTTCCTAGGAACTGAGTTGCTTGACCCTCATACGTCGAATACAAAAGGGAGAGTTCACCATGTTCACCTTAACCATTTCTTTAGTGGATATCCATATTTATTAATCAGTAGATTTATTTATTTTCGCACCTCACCAAATTTTATGATAAAAAGTACATTAAAAACAACAACAAACCAAAAGAGGGTTAAAGGGAGATAACTGCGGATTCGAAGTCAGAACATTAATATTGATAACTCTCTCCTCCAATTTGCGGACCCTTGCTACTCTATTCTTAATACTTGATAGTGCAAAATATCACAATGATAAAATCGATCAATAATTATTGATATCTATTTATATTGGGACTCATGCATGCAATTACAAGTAATCCATAATAATATTTTTAAAATCATATTTATGTTTGGCATATGAATTTTGAAACTGTTTCTAAATCTTTGATTGTCCTCAATAATTCCGCCTCACCTGCTATCCTCTTCCACCGCACTGGTCTATACTATTAATAAAAATTAAATAATTTAAAAGTGATGCTAGTCTGGCATAAAAATGTTTTAAAATATTTTCCACTAGAACATTTTTTTAAGTATATGCTTTTAATACCAGACAAGAATTAATTTTCTTACACGAAAGGAAAAAACTGCTAATGGCCACACGGTATAGGAAGTTGTAGAGAGCCATGATCGTCTATATCCTGATGGGACGTTGCAAATAGATGAATGAGCTTGTGTAAATAGCTTGCAAAAACAGGTATTATGAGAGCTAGCAAAAAAGTCAAGAGCTACAAATGACAGGAAGTTGTGGAGAACATTGATCGCTCGGGTACTGAACATAGAAGACCAAGGTACTCTAAAAGGTAAAACAAGCGAACGAGGTTCTCTAATTTTGGTTGGAAACCAATCTCGGAAAAACAACTCTGAATTGAAACCAGTTCGGTGTGGGTTTAGAAACTCTACCCCGTGAAAACAAGAGCGATCAAAATAATGAGTTTATAGTCGGAACAGAACCTGTGTTGAAAACCGAAAATATTAAATTAAAAGTGTAAATTTAGAATCATGCAAAACCTGAAGAAGTGCCATATGGAAAGCTACCGCTGATCTATCGTTAATTCCACGGAAAGTGTTGAACAGACTACATTCCTTGATTCCGTCAGGTATAACCTTCAGGGCAATGACACGACATGCCACTTTGCTTCGTATTCCATCGGTTAGAAAGTGCCACTCGAACAGAGTCTTCCGCGAACTACTGCTCTGTAGAACCGACACCCAAGAGGATGTTTCCCCGATCACTACAACCTTAACCTCTTCGAGGATAGGGTTAATCGTTATCTTCTACTCCTATACGCACAAACTGCCTCCTAACACTCTACCTCGAGTGGCCCCCGGGTCTTGTAAAGGGTGAGCCTTAGTGTAAAAAAAAAAGATTAAGAAAAAAAAAGGTCTGCATATACTGACAAATATTAGAACAAGAAAAGACCATGGGAAAACGTTTGTTTTCAAATTTGCGTACAAAGGCCAAAACGTTGTAATAAAAATGGCGACAAAGATGAGGACAATAGTCCGAATAATTTAAATAGTGTACATAATACCTCATCTCAAAAATATAGACATACTGAAGGGTCAAATAAATATGGCGACAAAGATGAGGACAATAGTCCGAATAATGTAAATAGTGTACATAATACCTCATCTCAGAAATATAGACAGATACTGAAGGATCAGATAAATACGTCTGCAAAGATGAGGACAATAGTACGAATAATGCAAATAGTGTACATAATACCTCATCTCAGAAATATAGACAGATACTGAAGGATCATATAAATATGGCAACAAATAACCCATTAAGGTTGATATGCAAAACCTGAAGAAGTGCCATATGGCAAGCCACCCGCTGATCTATCGTTAATTCCACGGAAAGTGTTCGAACGGACTACATTCCTTGATTCCGTCAGGCATAACCTTCAGGGCAATGACACGACATGCCACTTTGCTTCGTATTCCATCGGTTAGAAGAAAGTGCCACTCGAACAGAGTCTTCCCGCGAACTACTGCTCTGTAGAACCGACTTCCAAGAGGATGTTTCCCCGATCACTACAATCTTAACCTGTTCAAGGTTAGGGTTAATCGTTATCTTCCCATCCTATTGCCGTCCTGGGTAAGACGATAAACTACATCAGACATCAGGAGGTTTTGAGGAGCGTGTAAGCATCTCTTAATTGCTGTTGTTCCCAGGTTCAGACTGATCCGGTGTCTGGGGTAGCACCTGTCAGGGTCCAAGCTATGGGCAAATAGTTAAACCCCTCCCCCAAAAGGGGTCAAAACACTATGTTAGTATAAAAATAGGTTTTAATAACAGCAATACGTTTTTGGGAAAAATATTACCGGAAATACATTTTTGAAAAAAAAATATTACCAGCAACACATTTTTGAAAAAAATATATATATTATCAGCAATACATTTTTGAAAAAAATATTACCAACAATATGTTTCTGGAAAAACATTACTAACAATAAAAATCTTGTAAGCATTAAATAACCCATTGATATTGATATGCCGTAAAACAAACTAAAACCTATCGGCACAAAGTACTCCTAACATAATCCTCTACCTCAGTGGTCGTCGGGCCTTATACAGGGTGAAACTTACTGTAAAAAAATAGCTTATGTACATAGTCTGTTATCAGAGATTTTGAAAAATGGAAATAATTTATTTTACATGCAATTTTCTCTTTTCTTTTGTTTATTTTATTTCACTTTTGCCGGACAAATAAATTGCAATAGTATTTTCTAGTTTATCGATTATTTTGTTTAGTCCTCATTGTTATTAGTCGATGTGCGCATAGCGTAGCGGCTAATGGCGTGCTTAAATCCCAGCCGACGCCGTTGAGTTCGCTCTTTAGATTTCGAATATTACTTTTATCTTATTCTGTAGGATCCTAAGGCTATCTCAGCAGATTGGTTAGAAAATAAATTCTTTCTTTTTTTCTTTCTGAGGCAAGTTCGAGTAGACTAGACTGGTAGTAGGCTGTGGCCAATTGTTTGTAATAAAGAAAACGTTTTTAACGAGAAGATATCGATTCTAAGTAATAGAAAGTTTCGCTAAAAATTGTGACATATGTTTTCGTTTCAGCTGACATTCGTCATGCAAGCAGAAAAGTAATTGTTGTGCATTGCCTTCATTTCGTAATTTAAATTCACATGGGACCATTCATTGTTTTCGGTAATTGAAGTAATAGCTAAAAGAAAAATATAAAAAATAAAAAAAAATATTAAAAAAAAAAATATCTACGAAGCAATAAAATCTAAATTAAAATTAAGATATAACTTAAAATTATTTAATGGAATGTTACTTATCCGATGATAAGTAGGTAGCGTGAAATAATATTAACTGAATTTTGACATGAAATATTCAATGTATAACGTTCAATGTACAGGGAGTAACATTCACTATTCAATTATCGTATTTGATGGCCGATGAAGCGCACTTTTTTTTTTTTTTAACTAAAAGTATCTTTTAAATTTCTCTTGGGTCTTATATGCCATATGTAGGTTTGAAATTATCTACTTGGCAACTCCTATTAGCTTAGACTTTAGAGTAACATTTATATACCTATTGTCATTATTTAAAAGACCATTATGTAGATTAAGTGTTATCATTGATAATATTCATTATATTAATTTCATCACGTTTAATATTAGTACTTTGTTTCACTAAAATTATATGCAATAAATTCAAATTATATATTTGCAAAATATATTTGCTTTATTAATATTCTTCTTGCGATAATTTCCGGCTGCACTGGAATAAATAAAATCAGAATTTTGATATCCTAATTATTCCAATAAGACGTAACGCAGGTTGTACAGATCATATGAAGAATATGATAAAGTTTTTATCGGGCCCGTGTTCTTTTTTCTATTATTTTTCGTTTAATTGCCATCATGGCTTGTTTAACCAAAATAATACCCCATAAATATAGCCTAGGCTGTACCGTTTACTAATAATTTTACTAATTACTAATTTTTCTTGATTTGCCCTGCTGAATTTGGGGTGCGTCTTATATGCTGTCAGCTATCAGGAAGGTGATTATGTTGAAATGAATATTCTTTGATGCAGTTATTAATTGAATATTTATCTGAGATGTTCAGTGTATACTGTTCAATCTGTGTGAGTAATATTAGTCAATTAGGTAAAGTAACAAGGAAGGAGCTTATTTTGAAAAATGAATATTCTTTGGTATACAGTTCATCTGTATGAGTAATATCCATTTGTCAATTAAGTGCAGTGACAATGAAGGAAATGATGGTGACAATCCAAATATTTTATTTAGTTATTAACTGAATTTTAACCTGAAATATTCAGTGTATGCTTTTCAACCTGTATGAGTAATAGTCACCAGTAATGTAAGTGAAGTAACAAAGAACGAAATTATGTTGAAAATGAACATTTTTTGACGTAGTTATTAACTGAATTTTTAACTGAAAATTTCAATGTATACTTTTCAATATGTATCAGTAATATTCACTCGTCAATTAAGTGCAGTATCAAGGATGAAGATTATGTTGAAAATGAATATATTTTTTTATTTTGTCATTAACAGAACATTGACTTGAAATATTCAATGTATGCTGTTCCTAAGCATACCACTTGAAGAAGACCGGAGGGTACAACGGCCGAAACGTCGTGAATGCGAAAAACAAAAAAAAGAGATAAGGACAATTGTCCCGACAATGTAAACAGTGTAAATAGTTACAATACCTCATCTCAGAAAAATAGACTGATATTTCTTTGGTATTCTGTCTCTGTGTTGTAGAAGTATTTCCAAAGAATGGTACGCCAATGTTGATAACCAACACGAGGGTCGAGGTCCAGCCGTTTAGGTTTCCATTCCCATGCTTGTTTTATTTTATGAATAGTTTTGTGCAGAATAAATTTACTTTCCATTCTTAGGCCATAACGAACTTACGTATTGGCTTACGGCCACATCACGTTGAAACACGCGTTTCCGTACGATCACCGAAGTTAAGCAACATCGAGCCTGGTCAGTACCGAGATGGGTGACAACTGGAGAATACCAGATGCTGTGAACTTGGACGCGCAGGTGATGTAATGGATAAACGCTCGGAATTGTTAATCGGAGAACCGTGTTCGAATTCCCGCTCGGTCCCTTATATTCACTTACGTACAAATACATTTGGAAACTTATGAATCCACCTCTTCCCCACCCCCCATCATGTTACAACAGCCTGAGATCTTTGTCTAATCCACCGTAGGGGGCCTTCGGGAATTGGTTTGCACATTATATGGTGCTACCTCTTCGACCTTACCACTATCGTTTGCCCTGCAGGAGTTAACTGTAAAAAACGAATCAATCAACTAGTTTATCCGAATAAAAAGTTTGAAGATTTCAATTTATTTGACTGATTGATTTTGTTTCCAACTCCTTTCTTTTTTTTTAAAAATAAAACAAAAGGTATTGCTAAACTATAGAATAGTTGTTTACCGTCTTAACCCGATTTTTGCTTTTGCAAAAGGAATTAAAATAATTGATTTATTTCAACTGTGAGACTTAAATATAACTTACGTATTATTTCGGATATTTCTTAAATAATAAAAAAATTACAATAATGATTTTTCTAGCTTTCGATTTACCCCATAAATATTTCGTTGCCTAACTTCGAAGTATCGTTAACGTACGTTTCTTTTACTTATCTGTGTGTTCGCATTCAGCTTCTCTTGCATCTGTTAAACGAAACAAACAAATAAAGGTTCCAAAGGAAAGCGAAACTCATGTCGTGTCAATAAATGATTTATCTATTATCCCAGTAGGAATCTATCCTTTCAATAGAAATATCTCTCGCGTTCTATCGATCTATTACATAACGTTCACTTAAGGAACTCGATGAAGTAAACGATAAATTCAAGAAGTGATGAATTTTATTTTTGAAATGCATTTTTTCCTTCCCAAAAACAAATGTTGGCATTAAAAGAAAAAAAAAAAAAAAGAAGAAAAGTCAATTACAATAACTTTTTCTAAAAATAAATAAATTTATTTTTTAGATGCATATCATTTTTTTAATATTCAATTCTAAACGTTTAAAGAGAATTGATCTTGGATAATTCTGTCTTGCTTTTTTCTTTTGTTTAAAATAAAATTCTTTCTAATAGCAAAAGTGGCTATAGATCACGATTTTAGAAGCAAGCGATCGCGTTCAGTAATTGATGAACATCACCCTACTCTGAATAAACTATTCCAGCCAGAATCAAATATGGTGATTTTCTAACCGTAGCTTAGATGTGACACAAGGCCGAAAGTTTGGAGCTCCCAGTCAGGTTTAAACTGGCAATTCCGTCAAAATTCTAGCGAGACAAGCGTGCTAACCATTACACGATGTTGAGGTACCCCAAGAGTTTTCTAAGCGTAGCTCAGATGTGGCAGCAGGACGGCAGTGCGGGGCACTCAGTGAGGATCGAGCTGACTACTCAGTCGTAAATGAACTAGCGAGACAAGCGTGCTAACCATTACCCCTCAAGCTAGAACCAAGTGTGATGTGTAGCGGAATATTATATGAAGGACCGACAGAAAATTGGGGAATGCTTTGACGATTCTTCATCGTTTCCGGCCTCTTTTCCTGGAAGGCGTCTATTAACGCTGTAGTTGCAGGATATCTATTCCCCCACCCCAAGAAAATATCTCTTCCTAGGGCGGGGGAGGTAATGTCTTTACATGGCACCTGAGCCGTTCCCAAAAGAGCAAATGCCAAAAGGACTGGATTGTTTTTGGACTTTAATCCCACGTGAGATTCCCACATTAAACTCGGCTTTGTGCTACATTGTCTTTGTGTGGATGTGCGGATAAATGCCATCGCCTTTCAGCGCACAATAGAAAAAAAACCTTGGCTAGAAACAAGAAAAAGATTACTAAACTGCTACGTGCTGTCCACTTGTATGGCAGTAAGTGCTAGACAATCTCCTCAAAGATGAAGAAGAGACTTGAAGCAACAGAAATGTGGTTCTACAAAAGGATGCTGAGGATACCATGAACCATTTGTGTGAATAACGACGAAGTTTTAGGGAAAATGGAAACGAAAAGGAAACTTATACATAACATCAGGAAGAGACAGTTGAAATTTTTGCGCACATAATGAAGACAGTGGGCTTAGAAAATCTAATACTCACAGGACAGATTGAAGGTAAGAGGAACAGAGGAAAACAACGCATAAATTAAGCTTCAGTAAATGGATGGCGGAACAGGGTTTAGGTGAGATAACAAAAAGACAAAATTCATTAAGAGCTACAAAGGACAGGAAGTTGTGGAGAGTCGTGATTGTTTATGCCCTGAGAGAACATGGCACATAAAGAAGTATTAGTTAAATCCACTCCTGAGTATATGGGGTAGAATATCCACAGACAGTACTTCCCCCACGGGGTGGGAGCTGGAATTGGTCCCCGGCACCTGGGGCTTGCCCAGGTGGGGAGAAGTGCTGAGGAGACAACTATGTTTAGGGTCTCGTCGCATGTGTGTGTAGAACTTTACCGTAATTTCGCATGTATAATACACTGTTTTTTTAATACCTTAAAATAAAATAAGAATTATCATAAAACTAAATTAGAATAATAATATTCTATGTTTAAAACCATTTTTAAATAAAAGTGGGAAACACTGGTCGTAATGAAATCGAAGAGGTACAATTTATAGGGTTTCATTACCAAAGAAGGGTGGCGTGTTATGCGTGAGTAGAAGCATTTTCCCACACTTTCAGCACCATTTTAGGGGTGCGTATTATGAATGAAGGCGTATTATACATGGGGAATTATGGTATTCTAAATTCGGAGTTTTGCTACATTTCGTTCAAATGTGTGTTCGGATAAATATCGATTACATCGATAAATATCGGTTCAAAATTAGGCTCCGTTCCAGGAGGTCTTTCGCCTCAGACAATACATTCTTCGGGATGCGCCCAAAAATGCTATGTGCCGAAGTCACTTTACAATTTTTGGTCTCTTCTTACGTGTGTACACATAGAACTCTAACTTTAAACTCACCGTTTTGTCATATTCCGGTCGTGTAGATGTACTGGTAGTAAGTTATCACTTCGATGATTCTTAGGTAGTTCTCAGGAGAGTCACTTACCGAGAATAGACGAGACTTACCAGGAAGTAACATACAATATTGCTGATGAGTAATCGTAATTATTCGGCAGGATAAAGTTCAGGATATGCGTTGTGGTCTAATCGATATCGACTCGGAATTAGAAATCGTAGAACTGAGTTCGGATCCCATTCACTTACGTGCAAATACCCTTGGAAAGATTAATAAATCACTTACCCCTATCAGCTATGAGTTAAACAGCAGGACAACCTGGCTCATGGTTAGCAACCAGTCTATCGCAAAAAGAAACAGTAACCTACTGTGGAAAATGTTTCTGCCTAGTCTGCCATTGTTATATCGTGGATAATACGCTATAAGCAACGAGGTAATTCCGAGTGGAAAGATTACGCTAAACACAGGAATTAGGTAAAACAAATAATATGGGTTTTATTGTATGGAAAGTACACTGAATAAGAGTTCTTAATAATAATAATAATGATAATAATATTAAGGAAAACGGGAGATAACGTCACGGAGATCCGTAGTGGTACTGCTACTACAATACTTCGTCAAGTCTTTTATTTTCTCCTCATTCACGTTTCTTTAGACTGACCAATCACTGTCGGGGTGTGATAGGTTGTTCCACTATAACAGCCATGAATCGAAAGAGACATGATCGCGTATGACACTTAACTGATTGACTGAAAGCACTTTATGTAGCAGTGAAATACAACAGTAGTACACAACGAAATCATACTAATAAACTCCATCTATTTCTATATATTTTACCGAAGATGTATAAATTTGGAAAGCTTTGTAATATTTTAATCTTGATGTTAGCTATATCGTAAATGGACACTTTTTAGCCTCATCTCTGTAATCAGATCATGAACAGCGTTTTATTTTTCAATTCTGGTCCAGATTGTATTTAACGTATATCGGAACCTTAATCTAAAAACGAGTTGATCTGTGCCGATCTCACTATTTACTGGGTTCACTCGAAGAAATATCAAAGTAAGCTTTGTACTCGGTGTAACCCCGGAAAGTCAAAAGTCTAGAAGGTACCCTTAATGGTACCAAGTGCAGAATCGGGCTTCAAAGGATGTTGGTGGGTGTACCAAAATAAACATGGAAATTAACTCCGTTGCACTTAGGATATACTCACACAACGACAACCGAATAGCGGGAAGTTATATAAATGCCCTACTTGCTAGTGGAGAAGCAGAATCCCTTACATCGTCGCAAAAAGATCGAACGTTCTCAGAAAAAAAACGAAACCCCATACCGCCGATTCTGCTGGCGTTAATTTGATCGCATCCAGAAGTGACTAAAAAATATTTTACATATGGAAAGTTTAGTCTCGTATTTTTATCAGACGTTACTAACATTACTGTATTTATTGCTCAAGTTGATTCTAATTGTTAGATAATAGTTTAGTAGACTATTATTTTTAGGGAAAGTGTATCTCAACTCAGACTTCTGGAGGTTGAGATTCGAGGTCAGATGTAAGCCATAATAAGGAAGTCAATTTTGATTTGTTGAGCTAGCGTGGGAAAGCGATAGGAGACATTTTTCGGCGAGTTGGTTTTTACCCGTCATGAGATGTAGACATGTTTTCTTTCATGTCTGAAACGACTCCCCAGTGAGGTCAGGTGGGGGAGACCCAACTGGATAGTTAGATAATGTACATGTCGACATGAGTAACAGAAAATAGTTAATTTTCTCTGCGTTTGAAGTCTTTCATTGCTCAACCAAAACGATTAGCGATCACCGGACGAGAGAAAAAGCCGAGCTGAGATACTTCACTGTTGTCAACATGCGACAATAATTAGTTGTCGACTTTAACTGTCATTTTAAAATTAAATAAAACCATTATAGGAACGAAAATGATTATTTGCCGTATAGAAACGGAATTGTTTGACAACTGCTTTTATCTAAGATAACATCACTCCAATCCCTCTCTGTATCGCACTCTCTTTTTGTCTCTTTACATC